ACGCGGAAACGTGGGGCTTGCTTTTCTCGACGAAAGACTTTACGTCGGAACAAGTTACGATCGTTTAACATTCGCCTCAGCGCATCATTTAAAAGTGCCCGAATGCACCGGTGATCCGCACAAAGTCTTCTCGCCGAGAATCTTGAGAGGAGCCTTCTCCCCCACTGGGACTTTCGTGAATAAATATGAGCATTTATCGTTCTTTGCTTGGCCTCTGCGTGATCGGTTACTTAATCCATGCAATAGCTTCATACCTATAGGTATATATCGCACGAGCAGTTCATAGCCTTCCCAGAATTTCTGGTAATTTTGTATGAGTCCGTGTAAATATTTTGTACGGATAAATTGGCTCATACTAATTTTCGATTATTTTGCTTTTGTTATATATATATATATAATATATTATTATTATTATTATTATTATTATTATTTTAGCGATATGTACGAAGTACAATGCTTCTTTTAAAAAGAGCCACTAAATGTTCTAATTTTTGTATTCTAAATTTTTTCTGTTACACTTACGTAAAATTTATAAATATAAATTATGTAATAAGGATTCTATAATGTCGTTTCTCTAAAATATTATTTTTATTCAAATTTTTTAAATTATATTGGGGAAAAATGTTTCTCAAAAGAAAAAAATACCTTCCCATACATCACAATTCATCCGAGAGACGTCCAGAGAACATCGTGTACGTCCTTAGGACGTAAAGAACGTCCTCTGAACGTCCCTCCGATAATGTGTGCTGTATGGGTTCCCATGAAATGGGGTGCAAACAGTTTAAATGCCGAGCCATTCCGTCGTGCGCGCCACTGTCAGAAATTGAACGATCGTATTTCTCTACGTCTGGAAACTGTAGCTATCGCCGGATTTAACACGTCGTCTCCCAGGATAGCTATCCTTCGGGTTTCCATTCCGTCAAACGAGATCGACTCGACCGAGTTATACACGATTTCTCGCATCTATTTTTCCGCGCACACGCGCAAATCGACGTGCGTGTGTGTACTTTGCGGGCGTGTGTACCTATACGCTCTGCTGTTTTTGCAAAAAGTAGAGAGTCCGGGGATCGTCACGAGTAAACTAACTAAACGTCAGGTATCCCGAAGGATGAGGAATACGCGACTGGGAGTAGAATAAACGCTACCCGTTATTTGCTCAAGAGAAGGCTGACCGCGCGCCGCCACCCTTGCCTCGTTTCTTGGGAAGATCGATTTGTGGGTACAACGACCCCGAAGAAAAGCGGAGAGACCACAATGTGCCACATAATTGCCATGGTAATGCAGTTCGTGCGACTGGATCGTTTACACTCTGTCTGACTCGCCACACACACACACACACACACACACACACGCGCGCGCGCGCGCGCACGGATTTCCCGCCGGGAATTGATCGTGGATTTTTATCGTTCCGATTTTGCTCTGATTTCCATTGCGACCGTGAACGTTCAATTGCCGTGAAGTTACACAATGTGAGCATATCAATAATGTTGGATCTTTCAATTCTAGCGACATAATTCTGAATTATCTTTTGCGACGAAATGGCACTTATTTCTAGAAACTTAGTGCATTGTGAGTAAATGGAAATCGCAATCTAACCCTATGGATCTGATGTTACTTCTTGAATGCCGGAAATAGTCGATATCGACAATTCTCGTCGAGCTTGCGCGTACTGATTAAAATCAGATCGCGAAAATCGTTTCTTTGGTCGACGGAACACTGTCCATCTGCAATTCCAGTCCTTGATAAAATCTGCTAATGCTATTTTCTGATTGCTTAGATCAGAGCTGATCGTACCGTTTACACAGCTGGTGTACATAACTTGCAAGAGATACACAAGCAGTCCCGCAATAGAAACTTTGAAAATTCTATATTTTATCTAATATCTTACTTTGCTCTCATGAATTTGAAGGAAAATTATTTTCTCCACGTCTAATATTAACTACAAAATCCAAATATATGTAAATTTAGAAAGGAACGCATCACGTGTAAGAAAATAGAAAACGATTTTACAGTTTTAAATATTTTGTCACATTAGTTTTATTAATTAAAATTGTTTACAAATGTAAAAATATTTACGTATTTTTTATGCAATTATATTTTAGATCAATTAGTTAATTGATGTAGTTTGGAAAATTACACATACTCTGTATACAATAAAGACCTAAATGATCATCACGAGATGTTACTATTTCTGCTAAATAATGTTTGCGGATTTCCTGATTAAACATGGCATTGGCGAGCATTTAACGGTAGTGATTACGTTTACGTGATTACAGTATCTTAGCTGCGAGATAGACTAGCAGTTTTCAAAGCATCCACTACGTTAGAAGGAATATAGGATTCGCTCGATCGTTAATAGGATCTCGTCTTAAGAGGGGCTTCGGTTAAACTCCAAACCCCCATATTTCTTCCCTCTTCTTCGATCTTCAACCTCCCGCTCGCGTCGCGTCTTGACGAAATGTTTACGCAATATTTATAGCATCGCTCGAGGATCGTTCGGGTAATTATTCAATGATATTTTGAGTGCGGCCTTCCTTGAACTTTTATTGAATATCTGCGAACGATACTCTTTTTTTTTATTAGTTGATCTGTTGATAAAACTAACAAGGATTTTGTAGCACTTGCTATAAATTTTATATGTATTTTAACGAGAATCTGACGTCGAATGACATGTTAAGCGTTTAAATGGCATTTGTTCTCGACGATGTTACGAGCACTTAACTCACTATATTCGATATTTACATGAATATGTATCAAACGTGCGCACGCACTTGACAATATTGCCTGTTCTTTTATGGCGCATTTTATCGAGTTTCATTCGCGATATTTCACGCCATAAATGTCTTGTGGATTCTAATAAAAAGCGGTCGACATATTCAAAACATTTACAGTTAAAGCATTTGATTGCTCTTTAACAAGAATTTAATTGAACTTCTAAATTACATAGCTTTCGATGTAGAAAATTAAAAAGAATTTCAATACGTTAAGTTTTACACATGTAAACAGATAAGTAGCCTTATAATTAATTGATTTTATGAGCGCATTTAATTTGAAATGTAGTTTTTGATATTGGAAAGCAAATATATGGAGTACATAAGTAAAACAAATATTCACTGAAAGAATATTAAAAATTAATTAAATGTACAATATAATATTTTATATACATATAATAATAATATTATATACATATATTGTACATTTTATTAATTATATTTATTAATTATATTAATTTCGTATATATATACAACATAATAATTATTTTATTGGGATAACATATGAGACGTAATGGACTTCCCGATGTATTGCCAATCATGATGTCAAAGACTTTTGCAAGCAAAAATCGGCCGCGTGATAGGAATGGGTCACGTAGAGACTATGGATGATTAACGGGGGAAATGACGCATGCTAGAATGCAATCCCCTGCCTCCACATCTCACTCCCCATGACATCGCATAGCATTGATTCCACGCACGCCAAATCAGGTCAATCAGTAATATTGAACACATTGGTTTCCGAAGTAATTGGAGAATATTCGTTTACTAGTGCTCCTTTCGTTATATGTTGGCAGATGATACTCGTTGTATCATCTTTTCATGCAAACTAATCACATTTTGATGAAATTTTTGTATGCTTTTTTGTATGCATATACATGCAGATACACCTTTTGCCATAAATCAATCGGCATTTTTACCAAAAAAGTTATTTTTTTTATCGATTAATTATGTCTCTTGATGCGAGTCATTTTACATTATATTGCGACAGATTATGTAATGTGCCGCAATCTTTACTCAGAAATTAAATTTATAATGTTGCTCATTTATATGCAAGAATGTACATCAATACCGTAAAACAAACACAATGATGACTATCTTTATAAACTGGAAAACTAGATTAATTACTTTTTTTTATTTTAACGAATTGTTGTTTACGCGTTGTGCGCGCGTGGCTGAACTTTTCCTACTTTTTAAGTACTACTTTTTATCATTTACTTTTTAATTTTTTACTATTTTTTTTACTATTTATTTTGAATTTTTTAAATTTATCATTTATTTTAAAGAGACGCACCGGGTACCGGAAATGTAAGGCTGTTTTACAATCCGGGGGAGTGTCCGGGTGCTGGTTTCTGCTTTTCTTTATTACACAACAAAAAATATATATTACTTTTAGAAACAAAGTCTCTGAATCCGGATAAAATTAAAACACTCGTTTAATCAGCGTGACGAGAGGACGTGTGTCGCATGCGCAAAGCTCTTTAATCAACAAGACAGAGCGTCGGTATGCAACATTCGCGTTTGTTAATCGCACTGCGCTGGAAGTGCAGTTAGAAAGCTTTTCTTTTCTTCTTTTTTTTTTCGCGGCGCGACTTTTGTCCACCCACGAGCTTATGTCGCGTCGCCGGCGTCATTAACGACGTCTAACGAGCCCAGACCGGAGAACCTGGATGAAACAATTCCACTCGAAAGTACATCCATATGAGAGTAAATGGTACATACGACGGAGACAAGTAACCGCGCGCGTTTCCGGTCGTGTAACACGACTGTCGACGTAGGCGACGCGTGCACAAGTGAACTTTTACCGTCGACCGTCTGCGTCTTGTTAATATTTTGAGTGCAATTCATAATTGTCATGATTGCCCATTCGAAAAACCGCTTCGTCACTCTACATTGCTCTGTTCTGAAATTAGAATATTCACTGGCTATCTTTAATAGACTAGATAACTTTCAAACTAAAAATAATAATTTTGACACGTAAAATATAATTAAATTTTATTTCCACGTCAATTATAATTATCCAAAAAGTTATTTTTTTATTACTAATTTATATTCGAAATATCCTATTCTCAATAAAACTTTTGGAACGATCTTAGAATTTAAGGGAGAAAAAATTTTGTATAAAAAGAAATGAAGCGTTATAGGTACTTAAATCCTTTTTTTAACATTTTGTTAATAATGACGGTCACTATGTCACTTAAAATAATTATGTGCTGTTTTGTATTACAGAAACAAAGCATTATGGTCCGCCAACTGGAAGAGGAGCTCAGAATGAGGATGCGCGGGCCGAGCGTCGAGATGCAGCAACAAATGGAAGTTTTGTACAATGAGAACGAGCATCTGACTCGCGAAATTGCCATACTTCGTGATACGATAAAGGTGAACATTAAACGTTTCGATGTCATAGATTATTTTCTTGCGCATCAACCGCTTCTAATAACTCTTCTCACTGTGTTTACGCAAAGTTATCCCTTCTCCCCCTCCCCATTAATTGAATTTTTCCGAGAGAAAATTTTAACTAATTTCCGGCCGCGCGGTTTACGAGATTAATCTTAATCGGCGGGACTGGGCCGGGGTTTTTCGCGTCTTACGTCGAATATATATATAATTCAGTCTCAGCCTCGAAATAGAATGGCGCGCGCTATCGGGAAGATTGGAACGCGTTGCTGGAATAATCGCACCCTCGAAGGGGAGGGAAGGGGGATCCCATTATAACTCGGGAATAATAGGGATAAGTGCGGTAAATGGAAGTAAAACGAAAGAGAGGCTCTCCAGGGGGTCGATGCGTGAAAGAGCCGCAGACGCCTCCTAGGCTGTGTCTTCCTCTTCTTTTTCTTGTTTTCTCCTTCCTCGCCGACAGCCGACGGGAGTTTCCCTGACATTTGTGAAAATTTTCGCGGCGGCTGCCGAGTATATTGGACCTCGTGCTATCTTCCGATCCTCTGACACCGTCTGCGGACGTCTGTCACGTACTCCAACATTCCGTGCGTATTCAAGAGAAACGAGTCGCCGAGTCTGTCCGATTTCTTCCTCTCTTGAATATTCCGAAGACTCTTTAATGACACATCTATTTCATTTAATTTATAACTCTTCTATATTTATTCGAATGTGAATTCCGGTGTTATATATATGCGCTGTTATGTTTTAAAGTAAAGTCTATTTTTGCGTGAAAGCGCGCGATCGTAAATAAAATAATCACGTTCGCGAAATAATCCATTCGGCCGGTGTGGTTTATTGACTCCTCGTATGCCGTACGGCTATGCCTCGCAGAAACTCGAAAATAGACGAGGGGTTTAGGTTCGCGTTCGAGGTAAACGACCGATTGTCTGCACGATTCAGAATGCTTCCGGAAATCTTGGCAGCAACGCGAATATCAACCTCGTCGCGATAAATTCGTTAAGTTTACCACCTACGGCATCGAACACAAGCGTTGCTGTGCACGTAACGTCGAATCGATACACGTGGCACGCAATTGGAGTGTCACGCGTGCGTTCCACTCGCTTATTAAAAGCAGGGAGATATGAATGTCTTCTAGAAATTTTTTCTTATATAAAAAGAATATTTAGTTCTTGCTGCAAGATTATTAGATGGAATTCGCATGTGGATGAGTCAAAGGAAAACTTGGAGAGAACTAGATATTCCATCAGGAAATAATCTAATCTCGCGCAAGAAGCGGAGCGATGTTTGCTCGTATAGCATGACCGAAACGTCGCAGACAGGTCAAACGTACGGGAAGCAACTGGTCGCCTTTGGCCATTCGCCAGTTTATGCACTCGGTTTCTCGTCCCTCTGTAAATTCTCATTATCGGATCCGACGACCGAGTAGATCGAAACTTTCGGAAATGTAAGATACGCTTGACGACAATATACAACAGCAATACAGTTTTGATTTCATTATCCCATAACTTTGATTCACAGTATAGTACTTACATGACTTTTTGTCATATATATTAGCTTATTTTTTGTTTACAATCTAATTTATTAATATATTAATAATTTAATAATATTAATATATTATACGACAGTAATAATTTGTAACACAGGAAAGATATATTTATATAGCTTTTGTCCAAATTTATAGTTAATATATTTATGAACACTTGGCTATCTTGGACTCACAACAGTCTGTCCTAGAGTTCTGTAAAACTGCAGGCTATAATTAGCTCTCCATTAGCAATAGCGCAATGCTGTCCCGAGATCAAACGTGCCGGCCGGCAGTACAGTGTACACGCGTGTTTTTTAAAAATATACTCCAACTGACGCATTCACATTACAATTAAGCGCAAGTTGTATAGGTTTTCGTTAAGAGGGATTTAATTGAATTAAATATCGAATGTCGGCTGACGTTCTCTAACATTTGTGAATTCTCGCATTTCCAGAGCACGTGCAGGTATTGTCTGGCTCGCAGGTAATATCGCACGCGAGTGTTCCTCTCGCACAGCGGGAAAAGCCGGCGGAAGGCCGGCAGCGGGTGTCTAATTCCAGACTAATTACTTTTCCGCCGTCAAAGAGGCGTGCTAAATTCGTTATGCGGGCCCCAAGCGGTGGCACTATCCATCGTTGACGGCCACTAGAATCAAGCGTATTAAATAGCTGCCGAGGTCCCATTGGGCTTCCATTCTCACAAAAATAATACTGTACAAAGTACGTCGCGCCGCGACGAAATTCCGTAAAAATATTTTGCGCCATTTACATTTTGTAGTAAAATCCCATTATCTTATTTGAAATGTTAATCTTCTTTTAGAATGAGAGAGAGAGAGAGAGAGAGAGAGAGAGAGAAAGAGAGCATTATATCGAAATTAAATCTTTATTCAGTTTCCAAGATTAAGCTTGGTATATCTTTAGAAGCAAATAATATTTTTGTACAAAAGAGTAAAAACATGTGAAAATTTAAAGCAATTATTCTTTAATGAGAAATTGAATAGTTCTAAAATTCGTTAAAAAGTCTATTTCTAAATTATTTTTAAATGGATTTGTATTCCGTATAAAAGTGAGGAATTTAATTAAACTAGCGCTTATAATATCTTTCTAATGCGCGTATTATTATGTAGTACGTTGAGTCTATTTAAGCCTTGTGATGCCCCAGAGATACCGTTCACGGATGCTGAAATAATTTCGTAGGCTTAATATAGTCGCAGTAGCATTTTGAGCGCAACTGAGTGGCCCATTATCTCTAATGAAGTCCTAATTTCGACGCTCCACCATCAATTAAGTTTTATGGCGGTCTTTGCACTTAGTTCGTATTTTTCACGTGTACATTGCGAATTTAAAAGGTTTTGAAAGCATTTACATGATACGAAATAGATCGGAAATATTCAAATTGCCGTCATTTGTAACTCAGTCTACAGAAATTTTTATTATATGTGATACAATTGTGAATCTAAATTGTTGATACAAATATCAAGAAAATATTTATGATGTTTTAAGAATTATAATATTATTGAGTTAACGCAAGTATTTAATAAAAGTAACAATTTGGCGACGAATTAAGAAAAAAAGAATAGTTTTAATTATCGCTTTTAATTAATCTTGTTGAATTTTTTTTATTGTAGGAGCTGGAATTAAGAATAGAAACACAAAAACAGACGCTACAGGCTCGTGATGAGAGTATCAAGAAGCTCCTCGAGATGCTCCAGAACAAGGGGATGGGTGAGACATTGCTTGCAATCCTTTTAATTAATTATTTTAACTATTTTAACACTGTATTTTATGAACAAAAATTTACATGTGTGTGTATGATCGTAAGATAGATTCAGGAAATCATAAAAAAAAACGATAAAGTTAACCAAATTAAAGAAAAGACTTAGATTATATTATAATAAGAATCATAATGATATGCATGATTTTTCTATCTGACTTATAATAACACATAGAACAATAGCTATTCTTTTAATACTTTTCAATTTCAAGAAGTCTTTTTTCAAGAAGTATAATTATAAATTGGAAAATTATAATAAGTTTTCTATCAAAAAATTAACATTTCGAGCATTAATAAAAAAGAAAATATCTACATATTTTAATGAAAAACGTACAACGGGAAATAAAAATACAAACCACGTGCATAAATATTTTTTAAAAACAAATTGGATTTTTTTTTAGAGAAAAAGTAACCACAAATAGCAAAGTGTACATAAAAAATCTTTAAATTTTTATTTAAAAAAACTTTTTGCCTGATTTTTCAGTCTACTATATTTTTATTTTAAATAAAAACTATATATTCTTTTTGCGGCGATACGGACAAGATTTTATTCAAGTTCTTTTTTTCTCGCATGATTGTCAAGTAATTTTTCTGAATGTATATCTCGTAAACGATTTCGTGTAGTAAATATACATAGCGAGTTATCAGAATTTAAATTTGCGAATCTCATTCGCAAATATACGACGCCTAGTATCGTTCTTCTCTAACGAAGGGACGACTCAATTTCCCCCGCAACGAAATTTTTCGCGCAAATGCCGTCGGTCGTTCTCGACGACTGCAACGGTTCATCGAATTATCTCGTTAAATCTACGAACCGCAATTTGACTAAGCAGACAAATCTACACTTTGAAACCGTTATTGTGATCCGTACAAAAGCAAAACTCTCGTCCCACGAAGCTAACGGTGCAAAAGGACATTGCAAGAGAATAATTAATCTTGCCAAATAATTTTACGAAAGCATGGATGCTTTCAAAAGTTGGGAAGGCATCGTTTGAATGAACAAAGTTTCAATTTGTATTTTAGAGTAAATTGCCGTGTTTATGTTCGCGCTTGGCATACACATGATGCGCTGCATTTTGATGTAACAAACAATTTCGCTCTTTAATTTTTTATTTTTACAAAATGTGAGCAGAAGCGATTAATAGTTAAAGAATAAGGGAGTAAGGGAGTAGTAAATCTTTTCAATTAACATTATTCTATTTATTAATTGCAATGACAATGGTGTGCGTTGCATTAATTATAATATAAATAATTGTAACAGTAATTCAGAGAGTAAGGAGAGATTAACGTGAGTGCAAAGATTGCACTCGTGTAAAAAAAACTGTCGCGATCATTTTACCGAGATCACTTACTCGCATACATACAAACACACATACACACAATTGCACCGACAACCCAAGAACCTGGAGCCAAACAGTTCCTCCAAGAGTTCCTCGTTACTTTCTGCTGTTCTAGGAAAAGAGGAGGAAAGGATCATGTTCCAGCAGATGCAGTCGATGGCCCAGAAGCAGGTCCTTAAGCTATTTCTATCCGTCGTCATACATACTCATAATTATAAATTTATATATATATATATATATATATATATGTGTATATATATGTATACATACATTATGCATCGCGTACATATATGTATATACATATATATGTATATGTGTGTGTATCATTCTCATTTCGATCGACGCTCATTACGCATTTTCGACACGCATATATGTATATACGCACATTCGTGGCATTAATGATCCGCCTATTTTTTATCGGTCTACTTTACGCGCAAACGTATATACACATATGCGCTAACATTAATCGCTGCCCATTGTTCTGTACGAGTAGTTGCTTGCAAGTAGCTTGCAGTTATTGCACCGCCAGTGGCTTTACTTTTCGCCCCGTGTGCCGTGCTCACGCTTGAACTTCTGTGTCACCTGTGAGATCTGAAAGAAAAGAAAAGAAAAGAGAGAGAGAGGAACAGAACGGACAAAGGAGAAAACGAAACAGGCGAGCGCCAGGGGATGAGTGGGGTTAGCCTTACACGGGGCGGCCCACTCTCGATTCGGGGACCACAACGGGGTTTTGCGAGCTCTCCCTCCCTCCCCCCGCCTGCCTGTCGTGCGACTCGACTCGATCGTTGCCCTCAAAATCGATCGGGCACTCGCGAGCGACGGAAGGGTTTTTCCGTTCTGTGTTCCGCAATACAGGCGAGATTAAGGTACGGTATGCACATGCGAGATCGGGGGACGGCGATAGGCAACAGCCGGTTGCGAAGCTGCCAACGCGACGCTTTGATCAAGAGGCGCGAAAAATCTACGGGTGCGACAATAACGCGAAGGATCTGATCATTCGGGGGATCCGAAAAGAATACATCAATCTGGAGGATTTTGAGATTCGCGGATGTGTGTAAATGTCGAAAGGTCCACGAAATTTCCAGAATAATAAATTCAAAACTCTGAAATTTTTACGAAAAATTTAAGAGAAATCAAAGAAGCCTTACAATTTTATAAGAAAAGTTTTCGAGTTTTAAGTACATAAAAAGATAAGTACATAAGAAAAATGAAAATTATTATTAAAGCATCCGGGAATCGCAATGATTTCGATAGGTCAAGAAGTCGCGTACCTTTATAAAGACTCTCTACAATCCAGGAACTTTCGTTCGAAGCTTTGAAGTGGCGTATCATCTCTGGTATAGGTTGTAATAATTGCGCATCATAATCCTCAAAAGAGTTGCTTATCTTGATACAACTGAAATTGGGACATTATTTGTAGAATTTAACTCAGCAGAGCTGTGATTCCGTTTCTTTAGGCCTGCAGTTCTTTGCGGTCCGTTTATTTTCTGCAATTATTTAACGAAAATTCGTATAAAATACGAGAAAACGCGCGTTTAATGCATAGAAAAGGGAATTCAATTTCCGAGTATGTTACATCCATCTGGTAAATGTAACTCCCTTTTTGTGACGTAACTTGCGCAATCGGCGCTGTTCGCAGTCAAAATATTTCGGTGCGTTTTTCGAGCCAGCTCGCGATGTTCTATTTATTCCGGTTTGACAGCGTTTCTCCCCCTGGAGAAGGAAAATCGAATCAGAGGTGGAAAATCGACGGGATTCACGCCGCCACTCACAGCGACTTTATACACATGTACATGTACACGTTATACAGACCACACACGCACACCTCTTCCAGCACATGCACATATTCGCATCCATGTCGCGCGATTCAGTGTGCACGCAAAATCGCGGGTTTACTCTCTCACAAGTGTTTTGTACGCGCACTTTCCTTCGCGCCACCGCCGCGAGACTTTTCAAAAATTCACGCCTATAAACGCGATTTTACCGTTGCTATATGTATATGTGTACTTTCTCGTGAACAAAGATTGCGGAAATCTCCGAGGAACGCGCCGAGAATGTGTCGACAGTTTTTTTTTTTACCAAGGCGCTTGTCAAGTCATCGCTTTATTGCGAGTATCGCTTTACCGTCTAGCTCATTTTTATGGAATTTTTGATACCCTACGGCGGCGCCACGCGCGCGTTCCGACATGCCGTAAACTTATATGGCAGAAGTAAAACGCGCGTTGACAGAGCCGAGAATCTCTATCGCCGGATGATAAAAAAGAAAAGATAGCTAACATTTTGTCGCAATCGGGAAATTACGAAAAGAATCGTAGAGTTTGGCAAAAATTATACGAAAATTGTAAAATTACGTGTCTATGTATTTGTTCAAAAGTTACCTGCCAAATATCGTTACGTATGGCATTTGGATATTTCAAACAAGTACTGTTCGCTTTACTTGAAAATTTACATGTCCACGTATATTAATCGATACTTCGTCGACAAAATCGCGGTAAATCCGATCGCCCAAAAGTGGCCCATAGGAATCCGTGAATCTTTGAAGAGTTTCCCTATCGCTTACTCTCACTCAGCAACTGTCGCTGCTCCGCTGTACTGTCACATAGCGAAACGAATAGCATATTTTAGACTGTTAGTCTGGTAAAGGAGTTTCCGAGCACCTGAGCACCGCCATCAGCGTCATCACATCGCCGTTATCATGTCCGCTCTGCCTTTTACGCAATCCGTGTGTTAGATGGTCTTTAGAGCAGACCTAGACCGTGTAATTTCCCCGAGATACGTTGCCGCGTTTATAGTGTCCTCCCCTTCGTTTATAGCCCGTTCTCGGTACACGGAATGCGAAGTCGTTCGGGAAAATTATTTAGCTATTATTCCGTCCGTTGCAGCCAACAAGCTTGTTTTCTCCGCGCTTTCTGACCCATTTTTGCCACGCGCCGTGTTCGCGTTCCCATTAGTTATGGCTACCTCACATCACGCGTCGTTTTTCATGCGCGTATTTCTTTGCAAGATTTCATATTTCCTGTGTTCCTCTGCAGCTTTGCTGCATTTGCATTTCTGCAAAAGCGCTCAAGATATTCGTCGGTGAAATTTGCATCAGGGAAAATCGTTCAGAAGTTATCTGTTATACTGTTCGATTGAACGATCAAATTTTTCGCGCACTAGATTTTGTAATTTTATAGACTGTGAATTCCAAAAAAATTTTGTAAAGTGTAAATCAGCGTTTTATTTGAATGGCTTTTTTTTACGAAGCCAAGAGAAGATAAAGATAATCAGGTTTATACATTGTTCTATCGCGGTCGATTGGTATAATTAACGTTTTTTACGAACAACGTCGCATTCGCTGTCTCGCTCGGTCTCCTTGCACTCTCGTGTTCATGCCTGTTAGAACTTAGGACTTTAGACGGAGTCTATAGATGTATCTTAAGTGGCACTCGAAGTCGAGAGCGATTCGGCAGAACGAAAAATTGACAGATCCGTGGCACTTGTCCGAGTGCAGAGTTTCGAGCACGAATTGATCGGAGCGAGCACGTCAACATTGCCTATCAACAGCACGAAAAGTCATTCACTCCCTCCTCGTTCTTTCTTTCTCTCATTCTGCCATTGAAATAAAATATATATCGCACAATGTTAACCTTTACTCATTTTCTCCTTCCCCTCTGAGAACTACTTTGAGCAAACTCTTGAGCGATCAGCAGCACCAGCACCAAAGCCTGTCTCGTTGTTCATTGTGACAACTTAGCAGCACGAGCATTGTATATCATGTTATCACCAATCCCGATCCATGTACCTTCAACAATGTTTCAATTCGTCTAAACCGATTCCTGGAAATCCTTCGACAAGTTCTTCGTGTTCTGTACCGAGATTGAAATCGATACAATCTCGGCAAGCTCGGAAAGTTGATGCTAGACACAATTTTCTATACGCGATGATGAAAATGTGACAATTGCTCTGCATTATTTTTAACCCGTATTGGATATACCCGCATCGGAGCCCAATAATATTTGTAATTCGAACTTGTCGAAATTATAGCGCTTTCAATCACTGAATTTCGATCTTAATTACCTGCTTTTTTTGGATAAAATATACGCGAGCAAAATATAGATGTTATATCTCGAGTTTCCCGACTAAGAATACTCCAAATTCCCGGTGACGAATTAACAGAGCGCCATGGGCGTGTAGAAGACGTTTTCCGATTAGCTCGAGGAAGAGGGGCCGCACATTCGACGCCTAGGGGGAAACTACTCGGTTCAATTTCCTCTCTTTTTACGACAAATTTCTCCGGGCATAAGCCGATCTCGACGCGACAGGCGCGCGGACGCACGCTGCAATTAATAGCTGCAATCTCGTTGCACGTAATTAATTGCTGTAATTCAGGTGAAGTCTTCGAAGTAATGTACTTCGGGTATCGTTCAAGCAACAATGAGAAAATTAATTTTTCGAATTGGAAAAGAAGGAAATTATTAAAATGTCTGCAATTAAAATATCTGGCACGCATACATTAAGTGTCTGAAATTACCAGTCATATATTAAATAATTATTTTTACATATATATAAATTATATATTAATTTTCTTGTTTACTTTTTATTAGCGCTTTTCTTCAAAGTTTTTAATATAATTTATTTACTTAAAATAATATCATTTATATAATTTACTAGTATTTAAAATTTTACCGTAAAGCAGGTAATAAAAAAATAATAAAATAAAGCAGGTAATTATTTATTAACAATGAAATACGCGAGTCTTTAAAGCATGTAATGATCATGTGACTAGAAAGACAGGAACACGTAGTCCTATTTTCCCAAATTAGCCCCATATATAACCACATGTTCTCCTTTACCTTTCTCTTTGCACCCTACATGTCAAAACGATTCAAGAACGATTCGTCCACGATGTCTTTATTCGATGACCTCGATAAAATGAGATAATTTATCTGACAATCAACTCGTATGCACAACGTCACAGACCATACATGTATATATTCTGCAAAAAGCAAGAACTTTATTCTCGGACTCGCGGTGCGTAATGAAGCTAAATTTGTTCCATCAGTCTAATTCGATAGATCGGGCATTAGATGAATCAGCCAATTATACGATTATACGTCACCGAATCAGCGAGTCACGGGACGAATCGTCCGCCGTTATCGTTAATGTCGAACACGATACATCGGATATAA